ACAGACTGTTACGCTGTATCACAGCTCATCAGTGTGGTTAGACATCCGATTGCCTCAAGCCAGGATCGAAACCCGACTAATTTTCCCCTAAGCTATCACCTCCTGGCAGAGGAATGTGAATTTGTACGCATTTATTTTTGAATAAACACGTCAGTGACACAGTCATATAAGAGCTTTGCATATATATATATATTTATATATATATATATATATATATATATATATAATAATGGACACTCTCGTCGGTTTCGACGTATGAGGATCTGCCAGCTTATTGATTCAGTTATGAAAGTTTATGCGCTAATCTTAAGTGGCATTTAAGACCCGCTAGTGATTTACAAAGGAGGCCACATATGGAGCAAATATTGTCAGATGAGATCACTGTTAGATTGGTTGACCTTTTAGATCTTGCTCTCGCTTCTTGAAGATGATTCAGACAAGCAGATTGAAAATTGCTGAGTCCACTAAAACACGTTGATCTCCATTCTACCCGCTCCAAGGCTAAGCGCTCAAGGGCGTCATGTGGTATATTGACTGCTGACAAGTTGTTTTTCAGCTTGTCATTGTATCTTAGCCATGGGCGTTCTACATTCATGTAGCCCTGATCTAACTGGCTGTGTATTAGAATCTTGGGTATCCTGCCATCAGACATTCTCAAGACATGACCAGTCCACCGTAACTGAGACTGTATGATAAAAGTCTCGATTCCTCCAATATTACACCTGTTAAACAGGTCTACGTTAGATGTCCTATCTTGAAGCTTAACTCCACAGATTGCAAGCAGACAGCTTTTATGGAAAACGTCTAGCTGGCGTATATGGTACCTGTATGGAGTCCACGACTCTACAGAGCTGTTGTACTTGCCATCCTTTTGTACGGTTCAGAGTCGTGGACTCCATACAGGTACCATATACGCCAGCTAGACGTTTTCCATAAAGCTGTCGGGTTTACAAACCCGAATATATATATATATATATATATATATATATATATATATATATATATATATATATATAACCTGAATCGTTTTTTTTTCCTGCATGAAAGAGGGATGTTCAAATCTTACATCCGTAGAGGAGGATGGATACGACCAGTGATTTGTAGAGCTTGAACTTGGTATAGAAAATATTGCTCTTCCATATCCTTCCCTACCTGGCCATCGCTGTTGTGGCTGTGACGATCCGTGTGCGGTTTTCTGTGTCGCAGCTGCCATGTTTTGATGGCACCCAAGTATTTGAAGCTGATCACATCCTTCAGTGATTCGCCGTCCGTAGTGACGCTGGTGTTGATTGGGCTATTTACCATCACTTTGAATTTCTTTGTGCTGCGTTCCATTCCATATGCACTGGCTCTTTCAACCAGTTTGTTGGTCAGGTCTTTCAATTCAGTGTTACTGCCCACAAATACTATGATGTAGACAGAAGAATTCTACCACACAGACACCATATTCGTTCTGCGAGATTCGAAAGTACTTGAACAAAAAAAAAAAAAAAAACATAATATCAACATCGGACTATTCATACAAAACTTCGAGCAACGCCTTATCAAAAAATTGGAAAAATATGATAAAAAGTTAAACAGCCAAACCATGTCAGTGCTTTTTAATCTGACTTGTTTGTATATATATATATACATATAGTTAAGTTATGAAGAACTTGGTAATCCGTATGGGTAATCCCAAGGAGGATGAAATCCTGAGAGCTCAATGTAAATACAGAGCTAATATTTAAAAGAAAAACAGACCACTTTAAGGTACCATTATAATAATTTATTTCACCAGAGCCCTTGTAAAGGATGCCGGATCATCAGATAGCACTTCCAAAAATGAAATGAAACGAAAAATGAAATTAAAATTGATGGGTTGTGTAAGTTTTTGTAATTTAACAGAGAGTGTAAAAGGAGTAGTTAAAGAGACATGGTAGAGTATAGGGAGGGATTAATTTCATATATCACTCAAGTATACTTTGTATTGGGGGAGAAGGAGCGACCAGACCTTGACCTATTTAGACGGTTAACTTAACGGAAGTGATATATTGAAATGGGGGGGGGAGAAGGGAAAAAAGAAAAAGGAAAAAAAAGAAGAGAGAGAGGGAAGTAAAGAGAAAGAGGTTGTAATTGGGTTTTAGCAATTTATGTAAAGAATAGATTTTAATGCTTGATAGTAATTTAGATATCTAAAAAAAACGAATAAATTAATTTGATGTTTGCTATCAATTTAAATATTTAATTTTTCTTTTTTTAAACAAATAGTTTTGGGATTTAATATAAGTTAAATACCATATTTATTAACACATTTATAGAGAACATATTAAAAAAATATTTTAAATTATAATAGTTTATTTACCCGACCAATCGTACTTTTTTAATATTGTAAAAATAGTTACAGTAACATCTTTAAATCTAATTTATGAAAGCAATTTGTAATTATTTTTATTTGGATAATCTTTCTTACACACACACACACACACACACACACACACACACACACACATATATATATATATATATATAAGTTTACTAAATCAGAGAAATTAATTAGCTATTTTTGCCGTTATTGTCATAAATTTTACTTAAATAATATTTAAATATAATTTTTTTTTAAATTTGTGACTTAGTAATATACATACTTATACTTGATGTGAAAATAATTCTACATACTGTAAGTGATTCTAATACATTTACTTGTTCTAAAAAGAAATATAGTATATTAAAAATTAAAAGTGAAAATATTTTTTTTAAATCGTAGTTAAATAAAAAGCATTCTAATCTAAACATCACCGCCCCGCCCCCCAAATCTTTAAGTATACAAATAGAAAAAAATGCTGTAAGAATTTTTGCCGTTAACAATAAATTAAAAAAATAAAATCCAGACGACATGCATTTAACGGATGTCAGAATTTGTTGAAAAATACATCCCTACCCCTACTTAAACGAAAACCCTTCTTCAAACGTAACTAATAACTGATACATCAAAATACAGCGATAATGAACACGCAACCACCCCTTTTCTAGATGAATGGATTTCTCTGTATCCTTGGAAACGTGAATTATGATTTTTTGCTGTGCCTTTAAAACCCAGTAATTTTAAAAGTTACTCCAAATTCGCTTGAGGATGAAACGGAACTAATGTCTTTAATTTAATTACAAAATTAAATTTGAAGCTTTTAGCTTCCATTTTTGAAACATGGTTAGAAATGTGTAGCGGAAAAAACATATTTTAAATCAATTAATTTATAATGTGAATGCTCTGTAAATTTACATTGAGCACTATTTTGTAAAAATAAAAATATCTATAAGAACACCAGATTACATATCTTACTGTTCTTTCTTTTTATTTATATATATATAAAGTCATTTTTTGTTTATATATTCTTTTTATAGATACAAATATTTAAGTAAATGCTCTGTTTATAATAAACAGTATTAATAACATTTACCGGCCTGAATGTCTGAGAAAATTTCATAGAAAGTATACATCCTCTGACAGGAATCGAACCTGTATCATATACGGAACCGTCATATAACCTGACGTGCATTAACCGATTGAGCCACACATCGATTCGTCCGGTTAAAAAGGTCGATTTTACTCCTTTTAAACTACAATCTTCCAAGAATCTCTCACGTACATTCATATCTGCTCAAAGCGTATCCAAATGTAAAGAAATGACGTCACACATTATGAAATGGACAAAGCCCGACAATTATTTTAAGACATTTTTATGTTTATACATTCTTTTTCATAGATACAAATATTTAAGTAAATGCTCTGTTTATAATAAAGAGTATTAATAACATTTACCGGCCTTCATGTCCGAGAATTTTTCATAGAAAATATTCGTCCTGCGACAGGAATCGAACCTTTATTCAGGCCGATAAATGTTATTAATACTCTTTATTATAAACAGAGCATTTACTTAAATATTTTAATGTTAATATATTCGCGCTCATGCGGTCGATCTATAGCAACGAGTTGACAGCGCGGATCTATTTTTTGCATAATGTTTAATTAGGATTTCTTTAGGCAAAGGGAACGTAAGTTCTAGTCTCACTGATAGCTTAGCTTGTATTTTTCAATCGGCATCGTCATCTCACCACCATCAGGCAAATGGAACGTGAGTTCTAATCTCATTGATGACTTAACTTGTAGTCTTTGTTTATTTTACCGCCATAGTTTAATTGGTCTGTCTTTACATGCTTATAAACCCTTTAATTTATTTTACAAATATAAATACCCATTAAGGAATTGCATTGCTGATCAATCAAAATTTGTAAACAATTATATAGGCCATACTACAAAATGTTTGACAAAAAGACTCACACTACATCTTTCTGATTATAGCTCAATTAGGTCTCATTTAAATACTCATGGTGACCTACTGGACACTATTCGTAATATACTTGTTGATAACAGAAATATAATAGCATCGTCTACATGTAAAAAAAAAGGCTAACAATAACGGAAGCCTTATTAATAAAAAAAAATAACACTCAATAATATCAACTATGAACATGGACACAATATCTTGACCGTGTTTTGAAAATGAAGACATTATATAAAAACATACATACAACAATCTATTTCTTGTTAACATTTAATATATTTCAACCTTGAAAATGGGTAAATGTATAGCCGAAAGCGCTCGGAAAAAAGAACAATTCGACAGTTTTTATATAATTTATCAACCGAAAAGATCACATGAGAAATTGTATCAAAAACTCAAAGCACCTTGTTTGTCATATTCAATGAGACGTACATACATACATATATATATATAGTCTGAGTTTCAAAGCTTTCTAAGTAGCTAGTTTTCCATGGTAACGAAAAGTTGGCTATAGAATAAAACTATTTAAACATGTTGTCAAATATTTACTTTATTTGAATATTTGATATCAGTTATTTTATCAAATATATAATTTGCAATGCTTGGATTAATTTCCAACTAATGACAATAATTCTTCCTAACTTTCAAAGCATTCCAATTGTAAACAGTGTATTTACATTAGACAGGCATGAACAGATAGATAGATAGATAGATAGATAGATAGATAGATAGATAGATAGATATGAACAGACCGATATATATAAACAGAAAGAGTGGGAGACATACATACATACTGTTATGATCCGGTTCCTTGTACAACGGTGATAGTCCAAGGTAGAACCAATAAAGAAGAACTCGAAGGCGGATATGGAATAACACAGATATATTACAAACAAGAATTATACAGAGAAGTAGAAAAGTGTTAGTACGAACAATCAGGTTTAGTAGGGAGAACAATGTAGTCTCGACCAGTACCACTATTCCAATGTCTTGAAGTAATTGCCTGAACGCGACACTGTTTCGGACTGCCTCTGACTCGACTCTTGACTCGACTGACTGACTGACTCGCTCTGACTGACTGACAGACTTCTGACGGACTTCACTCCAGACTTCAGACTGAACAGTATTTAGTCACCCCCCACGTGGGTATCATGTGGCACAAGGTCGGTTTACCTCCCCGAAAGAGACTCCGCCCTTCCGCGTAGCCTCGTTTGGGATCCTCCCCTCCCAAAGGCAGAGAGTTCAACCGATCAGCCGGTCAGCCGGTCGTCCGACTTCAGACTGAACGGTATTTAGTCACGAGGGCATCATGTGGCACAAGGCCGGTTTAACGTGGGATCTCCGAGCCCGTGGGATCTCCGAGACCGTGGGATCTCCGAGAGCGTGGGCTCGGCCAAAAATATGCCCTTTGAACCCGTATAAACGGGTTCAGGATCGGTTTACCTCCCCGAAAGATACTCTTCTCTTCGGCGTAGGTTCGTTCGGGTTCCCTCACCGCCCGAAGGCAGAGAGTTCAACCGATCAGCCGGTCAGCCGGTCGCCCGACTTCAGACTGAACTCTCTGCTTCCTCTTGAGGCGCAGTATTTATTACGTATGGAATATTCCATTATGTTATTATAACATATACATACATACATATGAATTAGTAGTGATAGATAACGAAAAGATTGTGATATATATAAATGCATAAATAAGACACAAAATGTGATAGATAGATAGATAGATAGATAGATAGATAGATAGCGAACACACTGTGATATTTACAGATATAGAATAAACAGACTGTGATATATAGATAAATAAGGCACTTTAATAGATAGATAGACAGACAGACAAACAGGCAGATAGATAGATAGATAGATAGATAGATTTGTCGAGTATTAATTCTAAAAGGGTATCTAATGAAAACACAATCATTCACAGCTTATAAATAATCAAATCTCGTTTACAGAATAATAACTAGTAGAAATGTTCGAGTGCAAAATAATAGAGTCGCATTTCATTAATCGACAAAGAATTCAATAATGAAACAGTAAACCGACTTTAAATACCAGGTGCATTACTTAAACTCATCTAATAAATTTGATTATTCCAATGCACCTTTCTTATACTTAAGTCTACACTAAAAGACACGTGGCCAACTGATGTAAAAGGAAAATATTTTCTTGGGGGGAAAGAATTATTTACTTTATACCCAAAGTCGAAAACTGACCCGTGATTCAGGAGGCAAAAAAGCTTGCGCCCAGATTAAATGGAACATGGAAAGATGGAAATAAAGGGAGATAAATAAATTAGTAAAAGCAAGAAAAGTGAAAAAAAAAATGATTTTTAAGATATTTCAAATTAGGCAGATATTTCTTTATAATTAATATTTTTTGTGTGTACAAAATTAATGATTGTCATTCAATTAAAGACGAATTTACAAGAAAAAAATATATAAAAATATTTCATATATATATATATATATATATATATATATATATATATATATATATATATATATGTGTGTGTGTGTGAACATAGAAGTCAACGCATAGAGGCGACAGTCTGTTTCATACTAGATGCAATCGTCAGGACTGAAACAGACTGTCGCCTCTAAGTGCTGACTTCTATGTTCACTTTCATATTTACACACGCTCTATCTCTGATATTGAGCACTTTATCCCATGAATATAGAACTTCTTAAGAGTATATTTCTTCATATATATATATATATATATATATATATATGTGTGTGTGTGTGTGTGTGTGTGTGTGTGAATAATAATATCAAATCCGCAAGTGTAAAGGATAATCCAAGTAAGTCTTTTTAATATAAAATATTATAAAAATAGATCCATAAAGAGAGATCAATATATGGTATGCAGAGCAATATGATATACATCACAGGAGAAACTTACCCATTAAAATAAATTATAATTTATAACCGGGTTTTCGATGATGCATTAAGTTTTTCCTTGACATATATATATATATATATATATATATATATATATATATATATATATATATATATATATATATATATAACACAACTTAGAAACATAAAGTAAATATTGGGGTCGATTCCAGCGACCTATCTCCTTTAGAGATATACCTCATGCTTTCCCCTTACCACCAACTCAGGCTCTTTATCTGGATGAGACGTCATTTTGGTTAGGTTTATCTTTTCTCGTCTGCTATCTAAATTAAATTCCAAATCCCTGACTCCTAGACGAATTCAGTCCAGGTCTGAAGAGGACTGGCGCAAGGTTGCGTCTGATTCAAAATGGATATACACACATGAAATATTTTCTTAAAGTTTTTTGCTCTATAGTATATATATATATATATACAGGGAGCCGACACTATTTTTGGGACACTTTGAAAAGTGTGCTTAAAGGTGTTTTTTGCTGCCGAGAACTTTTGTGTTTGATGAGTATGTAGTTCAGCAGTAACTGTCCATGAATGGTATGAACATTGATTGATGGGTTTGTCTTTGGTTTCATGTTTTCTTTATTTTTACTTCAACTTAGGCGACACTATTTTTCGGACATGACACAAATTCCGGGTTTTTTAATGATTTGGTCGTCGAACGTCTACACTATGCAAATTTTCTGCAGGTAAATTGTACCCTGACTATTACATTTGAGTATCTTTACCATTCACTGCGAAAACGTATTAAAATCCTGAAGAAGAATGCATTCAAAAGAAGTCATCAGTGTGGACCAAAAGAAGGGAGAAGACGGGCTCAGCATCCGAAAGATCGCCGCTGAGATGAAGCTATCGAAGTCAACAGTTGAATACATGCTAAGTACAGAGTATGAGCGGAAGAAAAAGAAGAGAGGACGGAAAAAAAAAACAATTTCCAAGAGAACAGAAAGAAGAATGAAGAGAAGTGTTACGAGGTTGCTGGAGAAAAGGTGACAGGGAAGAAAGTAAAGGAGAAGTGTGAACTTGACGTCAGTGTTCGAACTGGACAGAGAAAGGTACACGAAATTGGACTTAAATGCTAAAATCAAGAAAAGAATTACACTAACGAAAAAACACAAGGAGGCAAGGCTGGGAAGCGCCAAAAGATGGATAATAAAGCATGTCAACATCAAGAAAGTGATGTTTACTGATGAAAAACGTTTTAAGTTCGATGGACCTGACGGGTGTTGTACATGGTCGAGAAAAGGTGAACCTGTTATTCTCAACAAGAGACAGATGGGAGGAGAAGGAGTCATGGTTTGCGTTATGGTATTTCCGAATGGAAACTTGTGGCTCGAGTGGTTAAAAGGACGTCAAAATAGCTTGAGCTACAGAGAACTTTTGGAAAAGAGAGCCCTACCACTCATAGAAAAAGAAATGGGAAGTAATTTTATTTTGCAGCAAGATAACTGCATCATCCATGTGGCCAAATCGGTGAAAAATTGGATGTGTGAAGCAAATATAACTACTCTGGAATGGCCTGAAATGCTTGCAGAGCTTGTTTACGACGGACCAGAAATAACCAGAGAGGCTGAACTGTGGCAGCGCATACAAGATGCTAAAAATAGACTGCTAGAAACACGAAGAGACGTTATTATCAATATATACGAACATTATGAAGATAGACTGTTAGAAGTCATTGAAAAAAAAGGGTGCTGCCATAAACTATTAGCATTGTTTCTGCAATGTCCGAAAATACTGTTGCCTGTGTAATGTGAAAATTTATAAAAAAAATAAAAATACTTTTAATTTGAATTCTGCTTTTCCATTTGTAGTATTGAAACAGTTTTTAAATGTAATTGCCATTACACCAAAACAGTACAGTGTGTCTGGGCTACCTAAAACTTGAAAAAATAAAGTGTCTGAAAAATAGTGTCGCCCCCATTATATATATATATATATATATATATATATATATATATGGGATAACGATGTATACAATTTTATATAAATTTTGATATTTCAATAACAGTTTCAGTTTTAAAAGCAGTATTTTGCTTGGTTTATGTGAAGTAACAACTTTTGGTAGGTTGTCTTGCATCAAAATAAGATAATTAGATATGGAAATTATTTTCAATATATATATATATATTAGTATATTACACCGAAAACATGTAAAAATCGCAACACAATTGCAGTCGTATTTCGATGCGTATTAATGCATCTCTGTTACAAATTCATGGCGGTCATATTCGAGTATAGAATCCAGAGGTTAGCAGTGAATATTTCGGAGACAGTAGGAAAGCGTAGTGCAGGTTCGCAGTGGATATCGCAGCAAAGTAGCAGAGCGTGGTTCTTCCTTCTGTCATCTTCGCCTGACAAGTTGGCACTGGTCATTCGGGTAGGGTAAACAAAAATGGCCGCCTTTATACACGACGGATACAATGATTGGTTAACCTTCTGTTGGTGGACTACAAAGAGATTTAAGTCATTTTGACTCGCTCACTAGTTATATATATATATATATATATATATATACACAAAAAACTGTAACAATCTCAACAGGCGATTGTAAATTACTGGTGATTGTACGATATATTTAAATTTAAAATCAAAATACAACCTCTTCTTACGATAAAAAATGATGTTATAAGCTTTGTGGGCTTTGCTCTGATCAACCAATCAAATATGACCTACCTACGTTGAATTTAAACTAAGTGAAGAAGCAAAAATTAGAAATTATTTTTTATAAATGGATCATAACCCGTAGCATGGCAGCTAACGGCAGCCACTCATGAACTAAAACGGATACATATGGCCACCTACATTATACAAACATCGTGCCTTGACATATATATATATATATATATATATAAGGAAACAGACAATCTTAAGGGTTCATTAATTATAATTTATTTTTATTTATATATATATATATATATATATATATATATATATATATATATATATATTATAGAAACTTAGGACATCAACAGATTCCGCTATCTTGGTTTCTAACTTTCGGTATCATGAAGTGATTTCGGTGGGGATTAAATGAATATATATATATATATATATATATATATATATATATATATATATAGTTGACCCTGACGATCCGTATAGGTGAAACCTAGGTAGGTTTACCGTTAGGTTCAATGCATGTCGTCTGTTTTTTTTATCAACGGCAAAAAGTTTTTGAGAATTAAATTTCTATTTGTATACATACAGATTCTTTCTAAAAGAAGTGTTTTGGATTAGAATACGTTGTATTGATCTACAATTTTAAAATATTATTTTTACTTTTAATTACTAATAGATTATATTTCTTTTTAAAACAAATCAATGTCATAGAATTACTTTAATTATTCAAAAATTATTATTACGTATAAGTATGTACATTACCAACTACGCTTTTTTTAAAATATTATTTAAGGAAAATTTTTGACACTGTCGGCAAAGAATAGCTATTTCATTTCTCTGATTCAGTAAATTTTTATTTTTTATAAACCTAGTGATATATAGTTTCTCATGTATACACAAAGGACATGGGTCATTTAATGACCTACATATTTTTAGCTTTTCGTATTAATTTCCATTTTACTGTAGGTGTTTTATTGGTTTCTTTTAAGTGCCAGAAATATTTCTATAGTGACGTCTGATTTCGGTATTTATTTATCCTAAATGAACTTTGATGTTGATTGAATCTCTACTTGAACTCATAGCATGTGCAACCTATATAGACTTTTATGTTGTCTGGATCTTCAATATATGCGATATTGCATTGGTATACTAATGATTCCATGCGACATTTATTTTATAGAGGACAGTTATGAAGATTTCTGCAGTTACATAATTTTTGTTTATCTTCATCTCTTTTTATTTTTATACTGTTCAAATTTCTTTGATTTTGGTCCAAGTGTTTATTTCAGTACAGATGTAACTTAATTTTAGTGTATTTTTATGTAAAATAGTACTGAGTTTACTATCTTTAGGAAAATGTTTAACGATTAATGCAAGGAAATTTTGTCCTAATATATTTTTTACCATTTGGTTGTATTGGGGTGTATACCAAATTATTTTTCTGCTTCTGTTTTTTCTATGCTTACCATTTTCATTTTTTATGTAAGTTAGTGTTGGGCTTTTGTAGCCACTATCTTTTAACGCTTTATTATAGAAATTAATATGTTCATTGAAAATCTTCTCATTTGCTGAATTTGTACTTATTCTTTTTTCGATAGATAAAGGTATATGCTTAATTACAAATGGAGGATGATTAGATTTAGCGTGTATATATAAAGGATTAGTATTGTTTTTTTTTAAAGGTATGTATACATTTTTCATTAAATCTAATGTTATATCAAGGAAGTTAACTTTTATCAATTCAGTGGTTACCGTAATTTTTAAGTTCAGGCATTTAAATTCTTTATATAATATCTTCCTAATTTTATTGATTTTAAAGTTAGTAGAGTTCTTTATAACCATAAGTCCATCGTCTCTGTATAAACCAATGCCAGTTATATTAATTTCACTGTACGCTGTAAGATTGCATACTATAAAAAGACCTATAAGGTCAGAAGACTCAGCTGAATCTAGTGATCCCATTATAATGTCAAAGTGTTCGTAAGAATTCTTTACCTATTGCTCGGCTTTATGTATCAGTACCGATTTTTTTCGCATCTATAATAATGCTCTTTCTTTCTTCTGTTACGTCCGTATACTGGGTATCAAAGTCCAACGCTTTCATGAACATTTCTTTTGATATTGATTGATAATAATTTTCAATATCAAACTGCATTAGTGTACAGTTTGTTTTATCTTTAATATCAACAAACCAGTTTATCACGTCCTTGGTATTAATCCAAAGTTTTAGCCCTATTTTTTCTTTAATTTGTTGCTTAACCCTTTTTAGGATTTTTTTTTTTTTTTTGCTTATTCTGCCGATCTCAGGTCTTGTTGAATTTATTATCCTTATATTAGGATTGGCTTCGAAATCTGGTTTGTGGTCCTTTAAGGTTATATAGCACACTTTTTCAGCAAGTTTTCCTACTCTATCACTCATCTTCAATTTATCTGTGATATTTTTACTGCTAATGTTTATGTTATCCACCATGTTGAGGTAATTATTATTTGCCTTTTTATTCTTCTTATGTAAATCCTTAAAAAAGAACACGCTACCGCCCCTGTCTAAATGATTGGATTTCTCTGTATCCTTGGAAACAAAAATTATGAATGCATTGCTTTTAAAATTCAGTAAATTTTAAAATAAAAATTTCCAAAATTCGCTTGAAGATGAAACAGAACTAATGCTTCTAATTTAATATAATTGAATTTGAAGTTTTTGGTTTCTGTTTTTGAAACATGGTAATTCCTGTGTAGCGATGAAACCATATTTTTAAATCAGTTAATTTATAATATATATATATATATATATATATATATATATATATATATATATATGGGTAACGATATATAATTTTTTATATATCGAGAACAGTTTTGAAGGAAAAATGTATGAAAAAGTAGAAAGATTTCGTGTGACGCGTTTCTTTCCTAAGGATTTAATTGAACTAAATGTCTTTACGTTGATGCGACTGCAGATGCGCAAGACGCTGATAATTTAAAATTTTGAAAATATTTTGTTTTTTGAATATGTTTTGGCTTTTGGTTTTTAAGGTGTTTTGGGTATATAATGTATCCAATTTAATTTAGTTTCTTTTTCTTTTTGTTTCGATCATCTTTGTAATAAATTATCCCACATTGTAATAATAGAAGATCTGCCAAGAATTTATCAGAACAAGGACGCAAAGTTTTCTCTTTTAATTAGAGTAGCATTTTTTATGTCAAAATTTTGCTGTCTCGTTACAGTGAACAACTAATGTGTCTTGTGTCTTGTTTTTGAAAATGTCTCTTCAAAAATATTTTTAAAATTTAAATTTCCAGCGTCTCTCGTTGGCGCGCATGCGCATTCGGATCAATGTAAACAAACCTCGTCCGATGAAGTGCTTAGGGACGAAACGCGACACACAAAACATTTTCCACTTTGTCTAAGATTTATTACTCGTACAGTAATTGTTGCACAAGGCCGAAAAAGTGGGGAGACTAGTCAAGATTGGTCTTCATTAGTTATCTTATACCTAGCAAATTGGATTTACGACACATTCATTCGTTAAAATACACTCATTCACTAAAAGAGTTTATCCGTCACCATTCGCTCCTTCATGCACACCAAACACTGGACACCTACTTCAAAAAAGCACCCAATAAGTTAAAAATCCCAATATGTACAATTGTGTATATATATATATATATATAT